AAAATGGATCGTGCTTTACTTGAATTACAACTTCAACAAGAAGATCTCTTTCAAACATTTCAACGTATTGTTGAAAACGTTAATGTCATCATTGCTACATATGGTGATGATAGTGGTCCAATGGGTGAATTACAAGTAAGAATTTACTTCTCAAATTAAGTTATAATCTGGAGGATGTGAAGAAGAAATTCCTAAAATTCATTTTTGCCTTAGTGAATAGAAGATTGAATTTCTTATTGATGGCAAGTTCATAGGCCAACCAAATGTGTGTTTTAATACGCATACGGTGGTTCAACTTCGCCGACATTAAATATATACCTCATAAATCAAGATGTAGTTCGATCTGTATCGTAATACATACGAGCAATTGTAGGAATAAATCATTTAAATTTTTTCTTCTATTAAAAATATTTCCTCTCATTAATGGCAAGTTCATAGGCCAACCAAATGCGTGTTTTAATATGCATACGGTGGTTCAACTTCGCCGATATTAAAAGTATACCTCATAAATCAAGATGTAGTTCGATCTGTATCCTAATACATACGAGCAATTGTAGGAACAAAAAATTAAATATTTTTTTATTAATGTAAATTATTTCATTTTAGGTTGATCCAACAAAAGGTACCGTTGGTTTCGGTGCTGGTCTTCATGGCTGGGCTTTTACCTTAAAGGAATTTGCTGAAATGTATTCATCAAAATTCAAAATTGAAGTTGATAAACTTATGAAACGATTATGGGGTGACAACTTCTTTTCACCAACAGAAAAGAAATGGTCAAAATCCGGTGGTGATGGTTATAATCGTGGTTTCTGTCAATTTGTTCTTGATCCAATCTTTAAAGTTTTTCGAGCTATTATGGATTGTAAAAAAGATGAATATTTAGCATTACTTGACAAATTAAACATTAAATTACAAGGTGATGATCGTGAAAAATTAGAAGAAGGTGGAAAACCATTAATGAAAGTTGTTATGAAACAATGGTTACCAGCTGGTGATGTCCTTCTTACTATGATTGCTATTCATTTACCATCACCCGTTGTTGCACAAAAATATCGTGCTGAACTTCTCTATGAAGGTATGATCTTTTAAAATGAAAAGTTCATATTTTGATTTAATTAATAATTTATTATTCCTTTGTAGGTCCACAAGATGATGAAGCATTTTTAGGTATTAAATCATGTGATTCAAATGCACCATTAATGATGTACATCTCAAAAATGGTACCAACATCAGATAAAGGTCGTTTCTATGCTTTTGGTCGTGTCTTTTCCGGTACTGTTGCAACTGGTCAAAAAGCACGTATCATGGGTCCCAACTATGTACCAGGCAAAAAAGAAGATCTCTACGTTAAAAGCATTCAACGGTATGAATATTTCTTTTTTTCTTATGTGAAAATATGATGAGATGAGGATTCCCCATCCGAAATTTGACTTGATGGAACATATCCCAAATCTGATTTTCACTGGATTTATTTATTTATTTGATAAAAAATAGAATTTTCTTATTTTCTTTAGAACAATTCTTATGATGGGTCGTTATACTGAACCAATTGAAGATGTACCATGCGGTAACATCTGTGGTCTTGTCGGTGTTGATCAATATTTAATCAAAACCGGTACAATTACAACATTTGAAAACGCACACAATCTTCGTGTAGGTTTAATTTTTATATTTAATTTTTGTTTATTTTTTTAATTCACTTTTATATTTAGGTCATGAAATTCAGTGTAAGTCCAGTCGTACGTGTTGCTGTTGAACCAAAAAA